AGAGCAAAACTGAGAGGCAAGCAGAAATGACCTGTTATCGATCCTTTCTGAATATTGTGCTGTATCAAAAAAAAAAAAAAAAAAAATGCTGAAAATAACAGGGGTGACTATTATTACTTCTTCTTTTCCTGTGTCAGAAAATTCAAGAACCTGTTAGAAACAGATTGCCATTATGAAAACTGAGGAATGTGTTGAGAAGATTTCAGATGGAAAGTCTCCCATATGCATCCAGGAGTAGTGTCCTTTTGTGTTCTAAAGTTGTGATGTTTTTCCTGCTTAAAAGGAATTTGGATGAAAAATTGGATGAAAATTGGATGAAGACTGCAAATATTAATGTGCAAAGCTTACAATGTCCTTTATGAAATAAATTAATGATTTGATGATGTTCTCAGAACAAAGCACAGCACTTTCTACGTGCTTCATCCCGTCTATAGCCATGCGCTTCATTACACAACCATGGACTTTCAAGGTCACTCAACTGATCTTGAAATGTTTCTAAAAGATCTGACAGTTGATGGGCACTTTAGAAACAAAATGACTTTTTTTTTTCCCACAGAGACAATGATTTTTGCTGTTTTTTTTTCTTCTTCTTCTTCTTCTTTTTTTTTTTTCTGAGTGTATAAAATACAGCCTCTTTGATCTTGAGCAAACTAAAAAATTTAACAAAGAAAACCATATCATAACCCTTCTTGTAACATCAAAGAATTATATAAAGAAAGGATAAAGAGCAGGGCACATTCTTGTTCACCCCACTTTCTTTTTCTTTCAGTTGAGGGATGGTCACTAAGTTAAACCAGAGAACTTGTAGTTCAGCCACTAGGATCTTCTGCTGTTGAATCCATTACATTTGCAGATCACCACACGTCCAGACTGACCTATGCATTCCATCTGCCATCTCTGTGCATGGCCATTTACCAGGTCAGGTAAACAATGACCTGGTTGGGTGCCAGGAGGTCTTGATTTGTCCAAAAGTACTTTTAGCCTTTGGTAAACCTTTTGCTCATCCACATGCTGTAACTCTTAAATCAGCTATTCTTTATTGCACATGGGTTGAATCTCATGTTACACTCCAGAAATCTGAGCCAAAGACAAGTGAATAACTTGGGAGCCGGAAATGGGGGAGAGGGAGCAAGAAATCATAGCTGTGTAAACTGTTTGAAAGGCCTCATTAGATACAAACGTAGTTGCTGTCACTGTCATCTGATCTGCTTTTTCTGGTACTTTGAGAGATTGCGGGTGACAGAACAAAATCCACCACCAGTTCATCTAACAAAAGGGCACTTAATTTTTTTGATCTAGAGGTGTTGACTTGCTTTGGTGGTTCTTATACCTCTTGTTCACATATGCTGCCCAGATGTTTTCCAACTCAGATCTATGTTTTACCCATTGCTGTGGTTAGAGGGCTAATGTGTGAATTCAGCTAAGAATTTGTAGTGGCTTCTTTACCCATTGAAATGGACAGAGAACACTCTGGGTAGACCGAGAAGAGACTTTTAAGGTTAAGATTTGTTAAATGGTACTGTTTGGCAATGTCTTCAGTGGAACTATTTCAGAGACATCAGGATAAAAGCCTTCTTCAAGCCAGAATTCCAATGATTTTTTTTTTTTTTCAAAGTGAAAGTGGGTGTCTGATTTTAAGTCCTTTGCCTTATATTAGATCATCAGAAATGGCAGCAGCAAAATGTACTTTTGGCACTTGAGTTTTCTTCTTCTTTTGATCTTAAAAGCCTGTGCTTTTAGGAAAGGAAAGTAATCTGGACAGGAGACTACAATGCTGGGACTCAAGTAATTTCTAACTTGGTTTCCCAAGCTGGCTGACACAACTGCTGAGCCTCTCTCATTTCTACTATAAAATGTTGTTGTTAAAAACGTTGGTTATTTACAATCCTTGAAAGGACTGGTTAATTAACAACAGCTTGTTGAGTGATTTCAAGATGGAAAAATATGTCAATTACCACAAATAGTAAAGGCATTGCAGGCTAATTTTCACTGATGATAATGTTGATTAACATCACAACTCCAACAAACACTGTTACTGCTTCTTAGCAGTAGCAAGAGTAATAAGAGTTGCCATGAGAACTGATGCATCTGAGTGTTCACTGCTACTGATGACTTTTTATTATTAGGATAATGATATTCATTGGTTTCTAGAAGATATACCAAATTAAGGAGCTGTCACTCCCTCATTATCTCTGCCTGCTGGTATACTATCATCTATCTCAAGGAGCAAGTGCCTCATGAGATTCTCACTTCCCTTTCTTCTTCTTCCAGCCCCTTTGTAATGAGCTTCCTCCCAGGTGGGTGCTAACAGAAACCCAATAGGCATGCTTAAGGCACCATACAAACAGGATGGTCTGCAGAATGCTGAATAATGTAGGAGCATTGTCCCATTTTTAGTTCTCAATAATAACCTATGTTCTGAATTTCCTTAACCTTCTCTTTTTTGAGAAATGGCAGGATTCCACTTTTTGTCTTATGTCAAGGCATTTTACGGTGATTTATGGCAAACCTAAGGAGCTTCTTCCCGGTGGTTATGATAATTCTAGGACAGTTGTTTCATCCGTCTTTATCCATTTTTATTATGAACTGCTACAGTAAAAGCTTCACTGGGTAGTAAAAAATAAATTAATGTCAAAATAATTTGCCAATTTCCGTTAACAGCTAAAATTCTGATTTTAAAGGGATAAATTTAAACAGGGTAAAGTGAAAGCCTCATCTCATTATTTTTGAACTCTGCTTTGTGAGTTAATACTTGTTACTTGTTTCCTTAGCAACACAATTAAAACAATAATTTAAAAAGGAAAAGATATTCTTTCTTTTCTCTTGAGCAACTGAACAAGTAACAAGCTGAACAGCCCTTCTCTGCTGCCCTGTTCTTATCTGTGAAATATTGGTTTTCTTTTAAAAAAGAAAACTGCATTTCAAAAATCATGCTCTCTCAACATCACTGTCATCGTAACTAAAAAAAAAATGCTGAAAAATGTACATCTTTGGCAAAATTTGGTTTCCAGATAATTTGGTGAGAGATTGTTCTTTCTATGGTTCTGTTAATTTTGTTACACAGCTATGGCTTCATCTGAGTCTGCTATAGGTAGCTTGGTCTCATACACGGTTCTGCCTCCTTTCAGCTGCAGGCTGTAGCTGTCTCAGTAGAACAATATGTCTCTCTCTTTTCTGCAGTATTGATAAGGAATATTTGGATGGCTCTGACAGACTTGACTGGATTTTGTGTTCCTTTGTTACTGTTGCAGTCAATAGACCCCTGTTGCTGATCGGAGGCACGTAAGATTTGCATTCTGGAGTCTATTCTGGATTGTTTCTGATGGATGTACTGCAGGACCATGACATAGGGGATCAGGGCATGGCTCCTAGAGGAGCTGTGTCTCCTTTGCCAATGTGAGGAAACATCAGAAAAGGATCTTTGAAGCCAGCTATGCATTGTGGAAGACGTGTACTTGTTTTTATAGTTCTAGTTTTGGCTGAACAGCAAAACTGTATGATGAAAATGTGGGAGTTATTTGCCCTTGCAAATAAATAACTGAAAATTACTGTGGTGGAACATCATAGTCTCTTTACAGGGTAGAAATTGCCATAGTGAAATGCTGTTATTTCTGCACAGAATGGGCATGGAAAGCAAAAGCACTTGGTTAGCTGATTTCTTTCCCTGTGCATGTTTAGAAGCAAGTCTGCTAAATAAATCACTTAATGGGAATTTGCTGGCTCATTCCTCACAGGCAAGTAGGCAGACAGTAGCCTGTTTTATCTATGCACCATCAGCAGACAGGTAGGCACTTACAAAGTCCAGATCAGTTACAATGCATAGCGCAACACAAAGATGTTGATGAGAATATAATCTGAACATGAGGTGCTATATTAATAAGTGCCTGTTTTTTATTAGTGAAGCCTTTACCCCTGCTAAATGGTGCATGTAAGGCAAAGGACAAGATTAATTTTAGATCCACTTGAGGTTGGAAGGCTGAATGGAGCTGATCTGATGAACAGCTGATGAACATAAACAATCAATATGACATTTTAACAGGAACTGCATGAAAAAAAAAAAATAATCCTTTTCCTTGAATGGCTGCTCACAGCTCATCATCAGGAATACAAGTTCATTTTTTCTTTCCATTTCATATGCACTGGAGAGTGTGCACATTAAGAGAGAAGCCATACCAATATCTTCACAGCATTAGCACAATACTGTGTGTCATTAAAAAGATAAATGATGAGGTTTGGGAATAATGTGTATAGCTTGACTTTTCCCTGACTATTACTTAAGAGTATGAAATATCTAAAAGTGATGTGAGTTAGTGGTTATGGAAACTACCCAGCATGAAATTACGACATAAAAGCCCTGTGCCTTTTTATAAGCATATCCACTGACATCACATCACAATATTTTGATTACTATTAGTATTCACATGCCTCTGTAATCTTGAGGGCTCCAGTATGTCAGTCCTGCTCCATTGCATTCAGCTGGAGAACAAAGCCTGCCATAGATCTCAGGAACCACAAAAGGTAGCCCTGGCTGTCAGCATGGAAACATAGGTACATTGCTGTCTCCTGAGCTGCCTGATCATTGGGGCAAAGTCTCTTGGTTCTCAAACAAATATATTTCTCATTCAAATTAGTTGCAGTTGTGGGAAGTAGACAGTAGTCTGTGGGAGAAATGCAGGTTTTGGTCTTCTATATTTAGAAATAAAGAATGTGTATTTAGAAGGAAAAGGAAGGGTATGGGTTGTTTTTGTATGCAGCACTCATGCATTCATATAAAAGGACAACAGCAGCTAAGCTAAGCTAATGAGCTTGCCCCTGGAAGGAGGTGCTTTGTGGATGCAAAGCTCTCTGCTAGAAGTTCCAAAAAGGACATGGTCTAAGCATTTGTTATTGTGTATTTTCTACCTGTTGTTTGTTACACACTTTTTTCCCTAACAGCAGGAGATGACCAGCATTTTCAGTGGCCTGCTGCCTTTCCTTCTCATTCCCTTTGTAATTTTCAGACATGCAGCTCTCAATTGCCACCCCAGAGTGTTCCAGTTGGCGCGGGCAGTCAGGGGACAACACTGCAAGCAACATCACCCACGGCGACAAAAACAATGTCAAGAAACACATCGCCCATCTGCAGTACTTATGGAGCCAAACCAATGGAGCACAGCTGTAAGCTAATGATACCTTACCCCCAGAAATAATATGTGTTTCATAATGCATTTTGCTGGGAGTCAGGGACACAGAATGGAGAGAGAATGGAGACCACAGCAGATGGAGCACTTAGATGTGTTCTATTTTTTATACTTGCATGTTTGTTTCTGCATTAGCCAGTCTTATATGTGCTTTGTGTATGAACAACTAAGCCTTTATATTGGTAGCCCTTAGACTCCTAGATAAATAAATATAGATCCAGAGTCACCTCTGAATATTTAGGTCTCATGGTGGCAGAACTGTTTCCTGTTCCATCCCTTTCTGATCCCTATTCCAGGCACACACAGACAGTCTTTTGCACAGAGGCTTTCCATTAAATGAAGAACTAAAACATATTTTAGAACTGGCCTTCCAAATGTAATTTCCTGTATTCCAGGACCACACAGATTTTGTGGTCAGTGGTTCTACTGTTTTGTGGGGGGGGAAGAAAAATGCCTGTTCAACATAGATATTATTAGAATATCTTCGATAAGTGGAAAATCTAAGGCCTGAAGAAGCTGATTTTTTTTATTATTTATTTATTTATTTTGTGAGTGTGTGTGTGTGTGTGTGCAGACTATGGGAGTCACAGGCTGGTAGAACCACATCACTTCCTAGACAAAGATATCTTGCATAAATATTTTATGAGTAGCTGCTTAATTATGGGTTGTTATTGTCTCCCATAATATTTGGAATCATAATTCATGTATTTGCTTAGTACAAGCATGCAGTACCACATGTTTGTGGCCTTATATTATACTGAGGAATGTGCTTATGATAGTATAGTCTTTCCATTCTTTTTGTTTTTCTGAATTCAATACTAATCAGTGTTAAATTTGGTACCCTGATTGTGCGCTTCTGTAATTTAAACTGCTTACGTTTCTTTAATGTTTTTACCTTCACTCCGAATCTCCTGGCTTAGTAACATCTTCTTTTCCAACACTCACAACATGCCCACAATGCATTTACCAATAAGTTCTCTCAACCATAACTCTCTTCTACCATAGTTACCTTCTGTGTTTGCAAATTATGATTACAAGTACTGAAGGCAACAAAAAAGACTTGACATAAAATTTGGTTCCAGCCTTGTTTTCATCTACTGCGTTATCTACCTTGGGGAAAAAAAAGAAAAAAAACAACCATAAATTATTGTCTCCATTACTTTCACTATTCAAATGCTTATTTTCCTGCTAAATGAAATGCAGATGTGCTTTATTAATTCTCAATATTCTTACTGCTTCCCAGGAGTCAAGTCTCAGCTTCATCAGACCACAAGGATATCCTTAAAGCTCAAGACCTTTCTGTCATCATAAAAGCATACGTGCTAGTTACATCCTTAACACCTTTGAGGGCTTTTCTTCATTCAGTTGCTACTGTCTGGCATCCACCCAAGAAGAAGCACTTTTCTGTAAAGGTAAAATGTTTTGTTTCCTAGTTTTTGTTTTTTTACAGACAGTAGAGACAGAAAACCAGGTAATGTTTATTTTCTCTTTTCCCTCTTTTTTACTTGCAATCATGAGCTGACAGTGATGGTTCTTATCAAGTACTGCTTTCATATCTCAGAAAAAGTGGGGCTTCGTTCATGAAGGAGAGAAAATCTGGCCTGTGCAATGGGGGCTATGAAGGGCCCTGGGATTTGCTTGTTACAAAGCCAGTTTTTGCTGGTGAAACTTCACAGCAGTTGCACAGTTGGAGTTTCTCTAAAGCTCAGCTTCAGAACGCCCTGATGCAGTAACATCTTTTGCCTGGATACTGACAGTGTTGTAAAAAAACAAAAGTAAATATTTAAATTATTTGTTTAGATTTCTTTTTTAGGTGCAGTAAAATAGAATGGATGAGTGTCAGGGCACATCCAAATAAGGAGAAGGAAGTATTCTGTGGAGAAAGTGGCTTCTCGTGGTCTGTAGGTTTTATGGAGAAGGATGTATCCTACATGCTTTAACTCTGGCCATCCCCAAGTGCCTGGAGAGACCCCTCTCTCTTCATGTCTAGTTTCCTCAGCAGTTGCATGGATACCGAACGTATCTTTTAATTCCTTTGCTCTTTCAGCAAGGAACTGTCCTTCCACACACAGCACTTTTTGAAGGAACTATAGGTTTGCAGCTGCTCCTTTTTGAAGGAAAAAGATCACAAAGTAGCAGTGATTTCTGGAGGTGACATAACTCCTTCAGCATCCCTGAGGATGGGTGTACTTTGTCATATAACACACTCAGGACAGGAGCAGGTCTTGTCTTTGAATCAGTGTGAACATTGTGGCATCACTGCCAGGACTCTGGATGATGCTAATAATTTGGTATGCTCTATAATTTTAGCTCTGTGAAAGTTAAATGCCTACTCTAAGCTCATGATCTAATTCTAGTTATTGAAGAAGCAGACAATTCTAGGGTACAGAACATCTCAGTTTAGACACTACTTTTGGAATGAGGTAGGTTTCCTTCTAGAAATATCTGTTGCTTTCCACAGGCTACGACTATCATAGGGAACAAGGCAAATTCTAGATGGCAAAAATTAGATGAGACAAACCTACTTACCTCTCTTTCCCTCTTCAGAACCCCACTGAAATATATTATTTTACATTTCCTTTATGTACATTTAAAAAGACTAGTGGACACCCACTTTCAACCCCTGGAAGTTTGGTTTTGTGTACTAAAATACCAAGGTGTTCAGTATCTGAAGTAGACAGTACTTTGAAGGTTATTAGTCATTAATGGCTCTGATATGGCTCTGTAAAATAATTCCAACTGAGGGAAGTCTGCTGAAAGGGGTGCCAGTCATCATTTACAGAATACTTTGCAGCTGAAGAAGCAATAAAAAAGACAGATAGAAGCAGCAGCACGTCTGCAGTATTCCTGTCTGGTTACTACTTCTGTGGTGTTACATCTTCCACAGCTTTAGGCAGACTTGTCAAAATGGCAAGAAATACACAAAAAGTAGGCACCACAGAAAGCACATTTGTAGTGATGAAGAATTTCAAATACAAATCAACAAAACAATGGAACGCATGTCTATAAGACTGCCTTTCCAATAAGCAGTGCACACTGTATAGCCTGGGAGGAGCCAGGGAGATTCACTCAGCAGCCAGAAGCTCCACTGGGAAATCAGAGAGGCTACTGTGCTTGGTGCACAGGCATCAGGCAGGAGTCATTAGAAAGGATGGCATCAGTCAGGAAAGAGACTTTGGGAAAATTCTCTTTCAGTTAATTCAGTCGTAGATCAACTTTGAGATGAGATTACATCAAGTTTCTAGGAAACTCTGTGGAGTCATCACTTGTTGCCAGAGAGATATACAGTACCAGCATCACGATTTCCTCTTCCAGACTTTACAGTGGAGCTATGTATGTTTGTACAACTAATCTGGTTCAGCATGCTTCTAGAAGCATTATGTTTTTGCCAGCTCTAGTGTGTAGGAGAGGAAGTTGTTACATTGTGAAGATCTAGCATGTCAGTAGTTGATAAAAACAGAAATGATGTCTAAGATCTGTTCTTCCACTGATGGACAGAATACCCATTGATGTCACTGGGAACTGATTGTGCCTATAGAGGAGACTTGGGTCTGGAACAAAATTGTTACTGTGATGTGTTCTTTTCTCAAGAGTAGCTGATTGAACTCATCTTTTAAAATGAATAGTTTTAATCTGCTGTATTGTATCATAGATGCATTGCTTTCAATAATGTTGCACAATAATTTGGAGATTTGCATAGTGTATATAAGCATCTGTTTAGCAAATTTTCTTGCGCCAGTGTAATTAAACCATTATTGATAAAAAATTGATTCACAACTTTGGCTGAATTCCAACTTTACCACCACAAACTAACACAAGGGTGCATCTTTATTACTGCAGACTCAGTATCTTGAGTTTAAAATTTGATCTTCTGTGCAAAACAACCCTTTATGGTTGCAAAAACTAACCAGAACGTGGTATATGTGAAAGAGATATTTTTCAAGTCTGGAGATGTGGTACCAAATGGCAACAAATGGTTTACAGAAACTGCGTAAAGACAAAAAATAAGTTTAAATTAGTTAAATAACACTCTACTCTCCACTGTTAGTAGACTGTTGTAAATAATTTTTATGACTCAGATTTGCTTATCCTAATCAGAGTGATAAGTCTTTATAATGACTCCTAGAATAAGCATTGGCCAAATGGCAGTTCAGGAAGAGTTCAAGTTCATTTTACTCACCAGCTGCCGGGGCTTTTTTGCGATTATGCAGATTTTAGAATCTCAGTTCAGAAAGGAAAAAAGTTAAAACTTGAACTGGCATGAAGATTTTGTGTGTGCTCAAGGGGTGGCAAAAGTACAACTCTAGATCTAGGTCCTGGTTGGAAAGATGCAGGAAATGCAGTGAAGAGAATGGCTTTCTGCCACACAAATGTTATGAGGCTCACATAATAGCCTTATTTCCATGAGGAAATTTGGAAACTCTTTATTTAGACCATCTGTGCTTTGAAAAAATAATAATAAAATGGAAGTTTTCTACTTTGCATATGGTACCAATTAAGGGAGGGATCTCTATGTGCAATAATTGCCTTCATATTAATCAAATACGCATGTGTATTAAACAAAAAGCTGACCTACAAATAATTTTCTGTTTTATAGAAGCTAGTGTGTAAGACATTCATTTATGATTAATTATCCCAAGGTTTAACACACAATATAAAGTACTTTGCTCAGCCATTAGTTTTTCCCAATCTGGTTCCAGTTCATAACAAAGGATGCAGTTTTGCAGAATTCAGTAGTGCCACACTGTGCGTCAGCTGGGAAGATTCTTCTGTGTTGTAGGCTGCCTTGAACGGCTCCCTTTCTGTCTCATTGTCCATTTGCTCATCAAAAACATGTGTCAGGTTCCTCCCGGACTTGAATTTGTTGACCATTTTATGAGCACAGCCCTAGATGACCTTAGCTAAGACTGTGCTTATCACTTAAAAAGTGATTTTCAAGTTGCACAGTGAAGTAAACATACTAAACTGAAGCTGTTTCACAGAATCATAGAATCACAGAATGGGTTGGGTTGGAAGTGACCCCGCTGCCATGGGCATGTTTACCAACCAGATCTTACTGTGGTATGACACTATAACCAAAATTCTCTTTCTTGTATATTAGGCATTTGAAAAATTGAGTAAAGAAAAATAATTATCATACTTAACGTACATGCAACTAAAACTGGACGCTCAACTGTCCAAGAAATATGTCTTTTAATAGGACGTGGAAATCTGGTTTAGAGCAGAATGTGGAAAATTAGGTTACAGTATTGCCCTCAAGTGGCCAATTTTGATACTACTTCACATATTTTATATGAAATAAAATGCAAGTGTTCATGCAGATAAAAATCAAAATGGTTAGAGACAGCAGAAACTTTCAGGACTTTTTTCCTTTGTTTTAATTTGGGATTACCCATTCTTGCCCTGTTACTTAGCAAGAGTAAATGCAACAGAAAATTACCATCAACTATTAATTAAATTGCAGGCTTATTTGGGAATAAAATTAAATTTGTGCATGAGGTGTTGTTAGAACTTAGCACATGTATTTCACTGTTCTTTCAAAAGGCCTAAGCAGAGAATCTTCCTGAGATACTGAGCATAGCATAGTGGCTCTGATTTCTCTACTCAAATCATTTAGAACCCATTTAGTCTGTTTGGACTGGGGAAGATTAAAGGTTTGCTTAGACTGACATTCCTTTTCTGGCATAAAAGTTACTTGTATCTAGGCAGATTCTACCCATTTCTGATAAACTGCAAGTTAAGACACACTGAACTGAAAGTGGAATACGTCTGTGTTTAATAAACTCCAGCGGACTTATGTGTTATGCAGTTCTCTACCCTCTTCATTTTCTGTGTCAGGTATTTCACTCTGTAAGGCATTGTAGAAATACAGTCAGAATTCTTCCTGGAGTTCTTTCCTGCTTTTTTTGACATGAACATCACAGTTTCTCTACTAGGAGCTCTAGACCGATAGTTCTTTATAGCAAGTAGATATGTCATAAATAAGTCTTGACACTTTTATCCATGCCTTATCTCTCTGCTTTTCTTCTACACCATAGACCTTCTGGCTCTTCAGTCCAAGCAACGATATAAACATGCCTCTGTGTTTTTCCCAGAACTGTCTCTTTTATCCTGCTTCCTTTCTTCACTTGCCTTTCAGCATCTCATAATTATCTCAGTTGCTTCTCACAACAAACTGGGAAATGTCATTAGTAAATCATCTTTACTCTTTCCCTAAAAAAATTGATTGGACTGTGTTGGAAAACCATTCTAGTCCAGTCCCATTCAAAGGACCTAATTTAGTTGCTGTGGAAGCTAGTGAACAGCTTTTCACTGACACTAGTTATCTTTGGACTTAATCTTAAGAGCAAGGATCTTTAAGGTTTTCTCAGGTGATCTTTTCTCTGTTTTTCTTTCCACCAGCAAAGATTTA